ACTGGAGTGCGTGCCACGTAAGGACACGACCTTCTCATAGGACTTAAGGATATTTGCCTTGTAAGGGTGTAACGCCCCACTTTATTTTAAAGGATTTATCGAATTTATTTAATAAAAATCACAATAAATTTTTCGCAAACTTTAATTTAATTAAATACTCAGTGGGCGCTACTCAAATTTACCATAAGCCTTTAACCAAAAACGCAAACGTATCAATAAAGACAACATGCACGAATAATAAATCATAAACCAAACTGGCATTCATTAAGTTCCAAATCATAAAGATAATTCACAATTCCAAGTTCAAAACGACACAGTCATAATATCTTAACATAAATGAGCGGAAGCAAATAAATAAGCGATAAATAAAAGCATGACCACCACCCGTCTTGTCTCGTCACCCGCCGACTGCTTAACCTGCATCAGTTACGAGCAGGTGGGAGTGAGTACAGTTAACTATCGTACTCACACTATGCATATGAATAACATAATAATGGTATGGTCGCAGCATGAACATAAACAATAAAATCATGTCACATCTCTAGCCACATCAATGACTATAGTCTCATCAAAGACTCACTCATGTACATCTATGCTCATCAAAGCTAAGCCATGCCATATCAGTGAAACATGGGAGTGCGTGCCACATCAATGACACGGCCTTCTCATAGGTCTTAATGAGATTTACCTCACTGGGTAACCGTATCTTATCATACGGGGACAACCGTATCGATGGCCATCAAGCTCACATCGATAGGCTACATGTTCATTTTCATACATAGATCACACCAAACTTTTATCATAAATAAATCACACATATGCATAGATAATTTTTGAATAACCCACCTGGATTCCGGATTGATAATAACTCAAAGCAATTGGTAGTAGGTCGAGGCTGGACTCCTCAATTACCTACATTATGTCAAGATCCTACAATGAATATCTATCTTGACTTTAATCGAAAATCACAAAAGCAGACCTAGTCGAACTTGTTTCGACTAAGTAGTTCGTGAAGTCCTGTGGAATTGGAACACTAAGACTCAGCTCTTAACTTGATCAAAACACATACACCAGATCATATAAATCCATCTGAGGATTGACCAAGTCAAACTCACATAAAAACTAAAAGCAAGTCGATTCCCAAAATTTCATAAAAAATCATGTTCGGAAATAGAAATCATTTAATCGCATGAAAATAGATGGCCAAGCTACCCTACGAATTAAGCTCTGAAAATTTACCCAAAATTTCATCTTCCAGGAACATGTAAAACCACAAAGTTTCAGCTTTAAACTCAAAATATCCTATTTTATAAAATTCGAACAGTAATTCAGCAAAAAGGGCACATTAATTCATACTCAGATCTAATGAATGAAACTGAACCTGAAACTTTTACATAGCAACATACAGTATGCCAAAGTCCACTTATAAAAATTTCAGCCTTAAATGATATCTGCTGCTATTTTTAAAAATTCAAACGAGCAATAGCAGTTTATCGAATTTAAACCCAAAATGAAACCAAACGGACTCTAAAAATTCTCATATTTTACAAACATGATCAAACACCTAAAATATGACTCTCAGTAAAATTTCAGAATTTTCCATGCAGTAACCGATTTTTACAAATTCAAACAATGTTTCTGCAGATTCGATAAATAAAATATTTACCACATCAAATTAACTCCAAAAATTCTAAAAATTTAACACAGCATATAAACAAATCAGAGGCACAACATATCAAAATGGCAGCTCATTTGAATCACGAACCAATTTATTAAGCATTAAACACTATTCTGATCAGAATTCACTTTAATTATTAAAAATAGCTACAGGCCTCTAAAAATTATGAAATTTTTACACGAGGCTGGAAATGAACAGATAACATATCCCTCAAAATTTCAAGTCATTTCGAACATTGTGCGATTTTTAATAATTCAAACACCAAAACAGCGACACATAAGCTCGACAATCTAACAATTAATTCATAACACTGAATTTCTCGTCCGAGGCCTTCCCATAAGGCCAAGGACTCGACTTTGTTCCAATATCCACTGACTTACATGAGTTTCGAGGCCTGGTTCGATTTCTCATAATCGAAGAGATCCCGAACAACACGATTACACATAAAATCACGACTTCACGAAATATCACATTGATCACATTCGCACAATATACACATCTCGCATAACAAATCGCAAATCAAACATATACGTAAATAACATAAACGATAATCACGTAAAATAAACGAGAAGTCGAGACTCGATACCATTCTCGAGAAACGAGCGAAAAGGGTTCGAACGGGCTCGACGGTGTACTTCGTCTCGCCGGGAAAAGAGAGCTACTCGCCGCTGAGGAGAAAGAGGGTCATCGGCTTGCAGCGGCTCGGGAGGCGTTGCTGCTCACGTCGGAAGAGGTGTTGCGGTGAGGAGAGGCCGCCGGAATTTGCTGGTTTTCAGAGAAGGAGCGGCGTTGGAGGAGGGCTCGCCGGAAGAGAAGTCTCGTCAGCTTGCAGGCAGAGGGCTTGCAGGCGCTGGTCGTGGAGGACTCGCCGGAGGGAGGGCCTGCGCGCGGCGGAGGGGGCTTGCAGGTCGCCGGAGGTGCTGAGGGAGAGGGGCTTCAATCGCGAGAGGGGAAAGGAGATTGATGGTGACGAGAGAATTTTGACGAGAGAGAGGGTCGATGATGAAGGTGCGATCGTGAAGGGAAGAAAAATCTGATGAGGGAAAAATAAAAGCTGCGCTAGGTTAAAAGAAATCTCATCACACGCGTAAAAGAGAGATGGGCCGGGTCGCGCAGGTTCAAGCCAGACGGGTTCGGGTCGCATACTAAATGGGCCAAGGGTTTGAAAGATTTAAGTCGTAGGTTCGATCCAATGCATACAGTTCTCTCGGGCTCAATCTCTCGGGCTCGATAAATCGGTTGATTTAGCCAATATAAAATGGCTCGGTTCGCACGATATTTTATAACAAAAATTCGGCTATTATAATAAAATATATTTCACACATTATTTATAATAATAATACACATTAAACATTTATTTCACAATTAGGCATTTAAATAAAATAATAATAACAATAATAAAAATAATAATAATAATGACAATAATATAATATTAATAACAAACAATAGGTAATAATAATATTAATAAATAATAATAAATAATCCTAAAATTATCCATAAATAAACGGGGCACTACAAAGGGCAACCCTATTACATCGACGGGGACAACCGTACTGATGGCCATCAAGCTCACATCGATAGGCTACATGCTCACATGCATACATAGATCATACCGGTTTAACACATTTAAAAACACATATGCATAGACATTTTGGAATAACTAACCCACCTAGATTTTCAGATTGACAAAAGAAAAATCAGAAAGGAACTAGGTCGAGGCTTGACTCCTCAATTACCTACATTAAGTCAAGATTCTAAAATCAACATCTATCTCGACTTTAACGGAAAACACAAATCAGGCTTAGTCGAACATGATTCGACTAAGTTGTTCGTGAAATACTATGGACATTGGAACACTTAGACTCGCACTTATACTCAACCAAAACACGTATGGAAGTTCACATAAATCCAACTAAGGGTTGACTAAGTCAAACAAACAAGAAATAAATGCGACCCGGTTCACAATTTTTAACACAAAAACTATATTTTTGAAATATTAGTCGATAAATCACATAGTGAGTTTGGTAAGGTTTTCAAATGGAGTTAGGCTCTGAAATTATAACATAAAATCCAACTCACTGGATTCAGTAAATCCACCAAATTTCAGCCCCTAACTCAAAACACTTGATTTTATAAAATTCGAACAAGTTTTAAGAAAAAACGAGCACAAATTTAAAGACTGACATAATGAACTATTTAACTTTTGAAATTTTTACACAGGAACACTTAGAATGCGAGTAACAATATGTAAAAATTTCAGCTTTGAACATCAAACATGCGAATTATGAAAATTGTAACAAGATTCTGAAGATTTCAAATTTTCAACCAAACCGAACCAAAATGAACTCCAAATATCCTGGGCATTTTTCTACACATATAACATCATTAAATAAGTACTTCAACTAAGAATCAGCAATTTACAGCAACATATCAAATTATCATAATGAAAACAAGTTTCAGCAGAATACTAAAATAAATTATCTACCCTAGCAAACGAAGTCCAACAATTCTGAAAATTTTACACAATATGTAAATATGCCAGAGAGGCAACATACTCAAATTTGAGCCAATTTAGAGCACAAATCAATTTAATATGCAATTTACAATATTCTGCCCAGAAATCAAAATAATTTTTAAATAGCTACAGTTGGTATTTTAATCTGAAATTTTTACACGGCATACATGATCAAAAGAGGACTCGACACAAAAAATTTCACCTTAATCGGAGCAGTATATAATTTATCACGAATTTAATACCAAATCAGCAACCATACCAGTTCATAAATTCATATACCGCTCGACAAGCATCGAAATTGTCTGAGGCCTTCACCATAAGGCCAAGGACTCATTATGTTCCAATTCCACAGTACTCACACGACTTTTTATCGAGGTCTCGTTCGATTTCACAAATTCGAAGAGATCGATACATACATCAATTTAGATAAGGCTCAATATACTCATCCATATATCAAGGGATTTTATAACATATGACAATCACATTAACACGTAACACATGAATAAACGAGAGGGATCGAGCCTTGGTACCGTTCTTGGGAAAGACGTTAAAAAACGGGACGAAAGAGGGACTGAGCGGATGCAACCACGCGGTGCTCGGGCTCGACGGCTGACGTTCGTCTCGGCCGCGGGATCGGCTCTGTTGCGCGTGTCCTCGGTCGGAGACGCTCTAGAACGCTGGCGGTTTGCTGCTGCTCTGGTGTGCTCGCGGCGACGTTGACGGGTGGTGGTCGCCGGAATCGCTGGTTCAATCGAGGAGCTGTCGCATCTCCAATTTTCTGGTTCGCAGCGGCCTGAGATGCGAGACAGGGCAGAGCAGCGGTGGAGGGGCGCTGCGACGGAGCTCCGAGATCGAGCGGCAGCGGGTGAAGGTCGCCGGTGGGTATCGCGAGAGATGGGGCTGCGTCTGCGGGTTGGGAATCCTTGCGCGTGAGGGAACAGCGACCTCTGGCTGCTTATGAATGGCTGGTGGCTGGAAGGGGGTCCTGCGCGCAGAGGAGAAGCAACGGCGGTCATACGCAAAAGACGGGGCCTGCTCGCGGTGGCGTCTTGCGGAGGGAAAGAGCTCGTCGGTGATGGCGAGGCAATCGAGAGGGAGAGATGAGCGCTGAGGCGTGTTTGACGAGAGAGAAAGGGATTGAGAGAGACTGCGGCGTGTTTCCAATCGAGAGAGAAGAAGAGATTGGAGGCTGCGGGCGTGAGAAAGAGAAACGAGAGGAGAGCAGATAATGAAAAAAAAAAAAAAGCTCCGCGTGAACTATATTAGACTAGGTTTTATTCTTGCTCCTTAAGACACACCAAAGAGATTTGGGTTGGTCCGAGTTAATGGACTGAGAATATAAGGGCTTTTGCAGGCCGATAATACTTGAACAAAAAGGGCCCGAATATTTAGCTATTTTGGGCTAAAAAATAATAAGGCTCGATGCGGCTAGGCGTGCGGGTTCTCGGTTTTCCTCGGGCTCGACATAACCATATTAAACTCAGTTGATCGCACTATAATTAAATTAAAATCGGATATATATTATTATATATAATACACATTGATTATTTAATAATAATACACATTTAAACATTTAATGACAATTTGGCATTCAATAAATAATCATAATAATAATAATAATAATAATAATAATAATAATAATAAATAAAAATAATAATAATAAATAATCCCAAAATTATCCATAAATAAACGGGACATTACATATTCGCAACAACATATGCATACATAAAGCTCACACAGCGTAAACAGAAATGCAAATGTTCAACCATATTCGCAGCAACATGTGCATATATAGCCAAAACGGCCAAGTGTCAAATTGCAACAGAAAAGTTCACATAGCTGAAACATCTCAAATCTTAAAAGTTGACTTTTGCAAGTTTATGAATTAAGAGAATGAGGGCAATGTTAGAGTAGGGTACCCGGCGTTCCAATCTAATTGGACGTATTCTACTTGTAAATACAATCTATTGGAATTATATTATTAATAAGGCATTTCTTTATCTTAAGAGAAAGCATTTATCTTATAATTGCACTTAAGATAAAATCCCTAGATCACTTATGGTTATAAGGTATGGTTACGCATAGAGATGGTGATCATGGAACATACCTTGAAAGCCGTGATCTTAAATACAGTTCCAAGTCGATGGATGTTTTGAGATGGGATATCGAATAATCCATAAAAGACTTGCATATAGTTTGTATGCTTGTTGGACAAGAATGTTGCATTCCATCAACATTAGCGTAAGACGTAAGTACATTTATGTGGGTGCTTGTTAGAGAACAAGTTCACTGAACATGACCGTATGAAAATTCTTAATGAAGAATTTATTCAGTCGAATAAGAATTTTCATGTTACAATAGTACATGA